TTTCGTCAGGCAATGGCACCCATGCAACGCGATGTCGCGCGTGTGTCTCCAATTCCTTGGCAATCTCGAGCTCGGTCTCCTGCAAACTCAAAGCAGACAACATATCACCCAGCTGGCATTTCAGCTGGGCATAGTTCTGCAGTGGTCGTTGGTGACGATGACGCGGAATAAGTGGAAGAAGTGCACGCGATGATTCGTAGGCCTGCTGTGCCCGTTCCAGCTCACCAATTGCCGAGAAGGCAATGCTCTGACAGCAATAAATATCGCAAAGCAATTGAGGCTGCTCGGTGGCTCGAGCAAGACGATCCGCCACCTCGTACCAGGCAAGGGACTCGGGAAACAGGCCAGTAATTTCGAGTGTCACGCCCATTTGCATCGCGATCCAGCCAAGCGCAGCCTTTTCATTCTTGGCGATAGCAATCGTTGCCGCACGTGTCAGGTTGACGCGTGCATCCATGGTGTCAATGACACGGGCAAAGGTACGCGTAATAGCGAGACGGGACAGCATTTCAAACAGGTCAAGCTTTTGTTTCTCCGCGAGATGAAGAGCCTTGTAACAAGTCTGCAGGCTCTTTTCCACGTCAACGCAGCTATCACCCGTCTCGAGAAGGATCGCACAGACCAATCCTGGGCACTGGTGGTAGCTGGACTCAGGTAAAAGTCGCAGCGCACGCTGCAACAAGAGCGTCTTGACATTTGACGCCTCGGATACGGTCAAAGAGCGAAGGAAATTTCGGTGGGCATTCTTTTGTCGCATGCTCACCTGTGACGAAGGCAAAAGTTGCTCACTCTGCGTGATGCTAGCAAGCGGAACTCCCATAATAGCAAATGCTGCAGGGGGTCCTTCGCTAGCGGTGGAAAGAGCACCTTGATTGGTGGATGCTGCTGTCGCTGCTGCAGTGGCACCAACTGTTGTGGCAGAAGGCGCCACGCCAATCAAAAGACCCTCCAGTAATTCTTCATCGCTGCTCTCCCCCTTCGTGCGACGTGAATCCCGTGAACGTTTTGTCTTTGCCTCAATGATCACCTCATCTTTTCCGGCGTCCCCATCCTCCTTCTCCCTATGCTGCTGCTGCTGCTGTTGTTGTTGTTGGCACTGTTTGCTCTTTCCTTTCTCCGCTGTTTGCCAGCCTGGAAGTCGTACGACGGCCCCATTCTCCCGCACCTTCCCAGGAATTGTCAATGACGCAGACTTCTTCAGTGATGCCACCACCGCCGCCCCGGCGGAATCGGTGCCTGCTTTCCCCTGCACAATCGTCCACTTCTCATCACGCTTTGTCTTTGGTTTAGACTTCTTTGTAAAAGTAACAGATCCCGACAGTGGAGAAAACGGCGGCTGCGGCTTTGAACCCTCCTCCTGTATCCTGTTTTGAACGGCTTCATTAGAACTGATTTGGGTATTATTCTCGTTTTCATGATTTTCGGCCCCATCATCATCATCATCATCAGAATCATAAATAGCATCCTTTTTGAATGCAGGGCGCTTATTATCCGTATTATTTTTATTATTTTCATCCATATTCGAAGTCACTGTGGTGGGTTTGATCACGTTATTGGTGATAATATGCTTTGCTGGTGTTGTCGGTGTTTTATTTGCATTTGCTGTCGCTAACGCCGTTGGCGGATCCGAAGGGGTGAAAACCCTCGGAACAGCAATTTTGTTTGGGCGAAGCTCGGCAATCCGTTGAGAACGGGGAAGAGGAATGGATACTTTGGGCGTCACTGTGCGGGATGCCGCTCTGCAACACGTCTCCTCCTGTGTCAAGAGGATTTCCTGTGAGTCGCCCTGTGACTCCAGCGACGAGAGTGTGCCTGAGCTAACGCGCAGCGTTCCAGAGCCCGGCATCCATCCGTTTTTATTCCACGGCTGCTTCTTCCTGCACAAATCAAAGATCGCAGTAACGTCTTGTTCCAGAAGCATTGTGCTGCGATATGGTCCTTTCCTCAATGGCGCCGCGGGTGCAGGAGTCGCGGGAGCCACGGCGCTGCCGAGTGCATCGAGCTGGATGGTATTGAGATCCATGTCACCGCAGAGCGGTGTGGGCGGCCGATGCACAGCGGTAAATTGGTACGGATCATTCTGCCGACGCACTGGCGGCACATGCACACCAAGCGCCCCATCACATGATGGGTACCACGGTCGGGCGCCGGGATTTAACATCTCTAATGATATCCCCTCAGGTTCTTTCTTTTGGGTTGCGATGTGCGTCATGTCAGAAACAAAATAACACAAAAAAATAAGACGGAAAGTAAAAATTTTTTAAAAAGGGAGGGGAGAATATTTCACTCATTTTACGTCACTGCAGGTTTTACATGTCTATGGCACAAAAAAAAAAAAAAAAAAAGATGGCACACATCCCCAATGGAAATAGGGTGAAAGGAAAGAGATTCTGAATACGGCATTGTGGCATACGCCGCCAACAGTACACCCCCTCTCTCCCTCATCCCCTACCCTATGTGTGTATTTGTGTGTGTCTAAATACCGCTAGTGTTTTTCCCACAGTCCGCTAAGGTCCTCATCGCCAAATGGACGCGCCTTCATGCCATGCCGGCGGCGTAGGGCCTCGTGGTATGCCGCCTCCTCCCGTTTTCGCTTCGCTGCTGCTGTATTCTCTTCCGCTGCTGCAGGATCGAAAGCAGCGCCGTCGTTGCCTCCTTTATAATGGCCCATGCCGCCAACGTTCAGTGGATCTTCAGAGCGGCCGGGGTTCTTCAGCACTGTCTCCTTCATCTTCTCCATAGCACGCTGGGCGCGGATGTTCTCCAACGACTTGCGCATCATGTTGAGACTGTGGGCATCCTTTGCGTCCACAGATGTATCAAAGAGAGAGCGCATCTCGGAGCTGATGTTGTAGTCCCACACGTCGCGTGTCTTAAAGTCCTCATGGTCGGCGTAGATGCCGGTGGGACTGTAGTCCTTACGCTCGCCCTGCATGACTGGTTTTCCTTCCTGCGACGCCGTCGAAAAGGCCGCAATATCACCCGGCCGATCACCATGCGTCTTTGCCGAGTTCATGTCGTATCCGAATACGTTCTCCTGTGTCTCCTGATTGAAAACCCCGCTGCGACCAAAGACGGTGCTCGTCATTTGGTCTTCCTCCGTCATCCATTTCTCCTCCATGTGCCA